GGGGTGACTCCAAATCATTGTCAACATAGCCTAGGGGTGTGTGTGTGTGTGTGTGTGTGTGTGTGTATGTGTGTGTGTGTGTGTGGTTTTCCTCTACCTTTTCAATTGTTTATCAAGCAATTATTATGCCAAAGTCACTTTGCTAAATATAAAAAGAGATACAAAGATGAACAACACATAATACCTGCCCTCAAGGGCCTTATTGACCACTAAAAGGCTCCTGAGTCAACAAAGTGACCATGCAGCCAGAGAAGTGAACTAAGGCTTTCTTAAGTTAGGAGGCACTGTTTCCAGAATTATTACTACAATTAACCTACTGTATTTAATTCTAGTCAGATCTCATCTATGTGATTATTCAATTTATGGTGCAATGTTTTATGAGGGATATTAACACACTGAAACACATCCAGGGTAGGGTAATCATGATGGCAAGAAGATTGAAAACCACATTGTGTGAGAATTGGTTGAAAGAATTAGAGTTGTTAGCTTGGGGAAAAAAAGAAGACAACTGAGTATATGATCAACCATGCAGTAGGTTGATAAAATGTGAAGAGAGCCAACTGGGACAGAAAGACCTGGGTTAAAATTCTACTGCAGATACTTAAGAACTGTTTGAATAGTGGACCAATCACTTAAACTTTCTGAGCATCAGTCTCCTTACTTGTAAATGGCACTCCTATCTCACAGTATTGTTACGAGAATCAAAAGAAATAGAGGCAGCTAGGTGGCACAGTGGATACATTGCTGGACTTGTTAAGAAAACCTGAGTATACAATCCTGCCTCAGATGCCTATAAGCTGTGTTATCCTGGGCAAGTCATTTAACTTTTCTGAACCTCAGTTTCCTGGTAGATAATAATAGCTCTAATCCACAGGGTTGTTATGCTCAATGATAGCATGATACCTAAATGAAAGCTGTCATGATCATAATCATCACTCTGCAAATCTTAAAGAACTATGCAAACATTCTTTGTTATAGCTCTCTAGAATGGGGAGGGAAATGATACATGGGGAAATTTGAAGACGAAAAAGAAAACACCATATAGCAATAAAATCATATTTTAAAGCAATAATTATGTACAGATGATTAAAATAGTAATAAAGGATAGGCATTCATTTAAAGCACTATTTATAAATGTATATTAATTATTATTATTATTATTATTAATCACCTACTATGTTCTAGGCATTATCTCTGGTTCTAGTGATATAAAGGCAAAAGCAAGACAGTCATTGCCCTCAAGGAGCTTACATTCTAATAAAGGGATACAACACATATATGGAATTGGTAGCCAGGGAATGGAGTTTTAGTCTAGGCAGTCACAGAGGTTGTGAGTAGAACTGTAAGACAATAAATAGGCTTGTCTTTTCCTGTAGCAAAAGTAGTATTGATTTGATTGTTATTCTGGACCAAGAACACGAGAATAGCAAGCCAGGTAGTGGAGACACGCTGAAGAGGAGGATGGAGGTATCCATGTAGAGTCAGTGCAGATCACAAGTTGTTCACACTGGGAAAGCCTTAGTGTCTTGGTGCATAGTTAGATGGGAAGTGAAGCATATTCTATGATGAGCTAGATATAGTGGGTTAGATATATTTGTACTTATCTACCAATCAGGAGAGGGGCAGCTAGATGGTTTAGTGGATAGAGTGCAGGGCCTGGAGTCAGGAAAACCTGAGTTCAAATTTGATCTCAGACACTTAGCTGTGTGACCTTGGGCAAGTCATTTAACTTCTGTTTGCCCTGGAGGCAGCTACTCAGTGGATAGGGCTGGGCCTGGAGTCATACAGACTTGAGTTCAAATCCAGCATCAGACACTTAATAGCTATATGACTCCAGGCAAGTCACTTAACCCATTTGCCTTAATCCCAGGGAGAAGGAAATGGCAAACCACTTTACTTATCTTTACTAAGAAAACCCCATGAACACAATGGTCCATGGGGTCACAAAGACTCAGACAGGACTGAAAACAATAACAACCAATCACAACAGCTCAGTTTCAGGGCAGCTTAAATGATCTGTATAGTACCTTTTAAGTCTAAATATATGATTCCTCTTCTCTACTAAAAGCTACATAAATACTACTTTGATGGATCAAAATGAGTTTCTCTCTGAACAAATCAGCTGTTGTCACAGATAGGAAGGGGGGTGTAGAGGGTTTTGTAAATAATTCTCAATAGCTGTCAAATATTTGAAAGATTATCATTTGGAAGAAGTAGACTTGTGCTGCTCAACCTCAGAACGAAGAACAAGAAATGACAGGTAAAAGTTGGACATAGAAGTCAGATTTAACTTCTATGAAAGGAAAATTTTCTTAACCACTAAATATTTCCTGGGAGGTCACAGGTTTCTCATTATTAGAGATCTTTGAGCAGAGGTTAGCCTAACCTTTTATTAAGGGGATTTGTTCTGTGAAGTTTGGATTCCTTCAAAAGTCCAAACTTGAGGACCTAGAAGGCCACATGTGGCCTTGAGGCCTCAGGTTCCCCACCCCGGGTAGAGTGACACTTGTCCAAGATGTTACAGATAGCAGTACTACCAAAGGACCTCAGCAGTTCCTTCCAGTTATTCAATTTTGTGATTAAGAAGGTAAAGAGCTTTATTGGCTTTAATGTTTTTTCAGTCCAGAGATTTTATGGGTATCAACTAAAATATTTTATAGGATTTTTGTTTTTTGTCTAATAGCACAGAGGATGGAGTTCTGATCTGTAGTCAGGAAAATCTGACCTCATATACTTACTAGTTGTATGACCCTGAATAAGTCACTTCAAGTCTTACACTTGAACAGCATTAATTTCCTCATCGTAAAACGGGAAGAAGAATGGCATCTGTCTCCCAGGGTTATTGTGAGAATAAAATGAGATACCCTTTGTAAACTCTAAAGTGCTATGTAAATGATAAATATGTTATTAGCAATACATCTAACATTTTGTGCCTCAGAGGAGCACTCTGTGTTCTATGTTTCACACCAACAGACAATGCAGGGAACTCAGCAGCCTCCATTGGTGATAGAGAAGACCAGAATTTCAAAGACAGGCAATAGATTATAGGGGGAAGAGCTCTAGATGTGCAGTCAAATAACCTGGGTTTAAGTCATAGGCTGCTTAATAATTTCTGGGCCTCCCTTTCCTCCTCTACATATTAAAAGATTTGGACTTGGTGATTTCTAACATTAAATGTAATTCAAAAAGCATTGATTAAGGACCTTCTTTATGTTAGGCACCATGCTAGAAGCCAGGGATATCAAGATAGAAACTAGCTTCTTAGAATCGAAAATCTTAGGAACTTTGTTCCTTCACTGGACATAGTACATTCTTTCCTACTTATCCAGAGGCTCATGTGACATTAGTATTTCCTGATGAATATAAAGGTTTTATTTTGGTTTAAGAGTTAAGTAACAAGGGATACAAGGGCAGGACATGCACAGTTTTACATTTGGGGACTAGGGAAATCGAAAAGAAAATATCCTTGACGTCATCAATGAGTGTTTTTTCAGTGAAAGAAGGAAACTGAGCTTACCATTTTGGGTGACAAAGCAGGTTTGGGGTAGAAGTGTCTGCCTTCTTTACTACTGTTCCACTACCAGGTAAGTTGAGCCCTTTCTCTAATAGGTATTTTGGTTCTGCCAATTCCCAGCATGTTTCATTTATGAAATTTATTATTCATGCTACTGTTATTAAACTCACCTTAGTTACAATCAGCATCATTCTTTCTTACCTTGATTTTCAAAAAATGTATTTTAAGAGAGTTGATGAATATTAATAGAAAGCCCACAATGTTCATTTTCACATGTGAACCAGTATTCAATTTATTCATAAGATAATATCATCAGGTATTATTGGAGAAGCCTACATAAATAAGAGAACTGACATTTCAGAGTGAAATATTACATTTTCTGCACATGATTTGCATAGGTTACTGAAATGGTATTCTTAACATGGTATTTCTCATTGCCCATCTCTGATGCATTGACCTAGACCATTTCAGTAAAGATTTTCTATGTGACAATTTTTCCTCTTCAGTTTGCAATAAGCAAGAATTTCATCAAGTTTAACACTGAGCACAGTACTAAAAAAAAAAATAACCTGCTTGTGTAATGACTTAGCTTAACTATAGAATGAGGAAGAATGGTATTGTCCACGCATTGAGGATTGTCCTTAATAGCATTGCAATTACAATTAGAGTAACAAGGGCAATATGGAACCTGGGAAAAATGTGAAAATAGGATGTGCTAAAAGTAGAGCCAGAATCATTCTCTTTTATGGTATGAAGTAAATGGGATGGAAATCCTACCTCCAATTTCTTTATTGTTGAGTAAGAACCCATTGGTTTGTACTGCAGCTGATGGAAAGAGAAGGATGGTGAACAGGATGCATGTAACAAATATGGGAGGTCCTAATATATTCTCAGGACATGGCATGTTGCCATTGACCACAGCCTCTTGGAACAAGATAAAGTCATTCAAATAGTTAACAGATGTTAACTATAGTTGAAATACAAAAGTCTTATTGCTAAAATTACTTAGGGTCACATTGAGATTTGGCTCTTCGTTCATAACTTAACTGCCTTGGCAAACAGAAAGTTGAGATCCAGGAGCAAAATGTATAATATCAGGGCCACACACTATGTGGAATCTCATAAACTACTGAAAATATGTATTCTGTGTTGAACCAACTTGATTAAGTATTAACCAAGTATTCAATATTGGGGAAATCTGCAGTTAATTTTCAAGTGAATTAAAAAAGTTATTTCTGTCACAGCAATATATGACATCCTCCAAGTTCTAATATGTTTATACACTGAATTGTTTTATTATTTATCCACAAATCCTTCAATTTACCTGGTATCCATGCTATGCTTTGAGTCAACAATCTTCTTTTTAAGAGCCCAGTTCCACTTCTGCCCATCATTTCACATTTCCATATAAAGTGACAGTAATGTTATTCAGATGAGATCTATGCAGGTGAGATTGAGCTTCCAAATTTCACAACACAACTTCATGTCAAACATTGAACGAGGCCTGTGCTACTTTAGAATTTGTTGTCTTATTTATAGCTCTACAAATAAAGTTCCCAGCTTCCATCACTTTGTAAAGATTCACTCCCTGGTCAACGGAAAAAAATGAGAAAGAAGAAAAGGGAGAAATGAGATAATGGAAGGTTATTAGTAATGTTGCTAGCTAGCATTTAAATAGATCTTTTAGGTTTGCAAGTGCTTTACAAATATCTAATTTTATCATCACAACAACTGTGGCAGGTTGGAGCTACTATTATTCCCACTTTACAGATGAAAAAATTAAGGTAGAAAGAGGGTAAATGGCTTGATAGTATGTGTTTGAGGCCAGAATAGAATTCAGATCTTCCTGATTCAAGGTCCATTCAAGGCATCTACTATGCCACTTAGTTATCTCTACTATTTCGACTTGGTTCAATAATCATCCAGTGCTAAATTCATCATTCTAAACCTAAATCTTTCACATTTTATTCTCCTTATGGAATACAGTATTGGCATTTTGATGTATTCTCCTTAATAGCTTTAATAGTAACAATTTGCCTTTATATAACATTTTAAGGCAATATAGTATAGTTAATATGGAGCTAGATTCAGTTTCAAGAGTACTTAGGTTTGAATCCTGCCTCAAACACTTAAATGCTGTCAACCTGTCAGAGTACTTCTCCTCTCTGACCTCAGTTTCCCAATTGGTAAAGTGGGGATGACAGTCCTCAAGGGGAGGTTGTAAAGATCAAAGAAGATAGTATATATCAAGCACTTTGTAGGCCTTAAAGTGCTATATGAATGTCAGCTATTATCAAATATTTTCAAAATAAATTTTATCTGCATTATCTCATTTGATAGTCACAATAATCCTCTGAAATAGGTACTGTTACTATCTCTCTTTTAAAGATGAAGACACTGGCTCAGAGGAGTAAAGTGACTTGCCAAAGTTCACCCACTTAGTAAGTGTTTGAACTGGAATTCTGTCCTGTATCTTCCTGGGTTTAAGTCTATCACCCTCATCATCAAGGCCTACAAATGATCATGAGGGCTATAAATCCTAAATATGTTTCTTGAATTAAAACATAGTTTATAATCTTATCCATATGGAAAGTCATGGGGCAGCCACAATATAAATATTACATACACTGATGAACTAGATGAAAGGCACAACAGACTTAGAAAAGACACAAAGAAAGACAACTCGAGTGATCAAGGATTGAAGCAGCTTCTAGATGAGGACATGTGAAAACGTAAGAACTCTTTCTTTTTGAAAGATATAGACTCAAAGGAAAAAAAAAGCTTTAAGGCAATAATTTTTTAGGTCAAAAAGAAATTATAGAAATAATTCATGTGTCAGCTTTTAGAAACTCTCCAATGATATTTTAAATTAAAAAGAAAATTGAGCTAAAATAGTTACAGATATGATCAAAAAAAGTTTAGAGCACAGGTTCTTAATATTTTTGCATGTCATGGCCTTCTTTACCAGTCTGGCGAAACCTCTGGACCCCTTCTCAGAATAATATTTTTTAAATGCATAAAATAAATGTCATAGGATCATGAAGGAAACCAACTATATAAAAATAGTTATAAAAATATACATTAAAATTTTTTGTGGGCCTCAAATTGTGAACTCATGGGTTAGAGGTAGTACATTGTAGCTAATAGAAATCTTAGCTAATAGAGGTCTTACAATTACAAGAAGTTGAATCTGAATCTTAATCTGACACATAATGGCTCTGTGATCATAGAAAAGTCACTTAAGCATTCAAGTCCTTGGTAACTCTCTAAAGCTATAAATTACAGACAGAATGGTAATCTGCAACTATGAAGAGAGTTTCCACACCAGGAATTCCCAAACCTGATAAAATCAATAAAAATATTTAGTTAAATTTATTGATAACAGAACACTAAGAGGTTTTTAAGGCTGAAATTGGCATGATATCACTGGTCTGGATTAGCTACTACTTAACCCTTGGATAGTATGTAGTATGTATGTTTTATTGTCTCAATTAAAAATGGGGTTGGAAAGCACAGCTTCGAGAAGTGGGGAGAGGACAAGCATTTATTAGTGCCTGCTATGTTCCAGACATTATGCTAAGTGTTTTACAAATATTATCTCTTTTGATCCCCAAAACCACCCTCCAAGATAGGTGCTATTATTTATCCCCATTTCACAGATAAGGAAACATAGGTTAAGCAACTTGTCTAGGGTCACCCAGATAGTCTCTAAGGTTAGAATTAAAGTCTTACTAAGCTAGGTGACCCTGGACAAATCAACTGCAAATTGGCAATAACACCTCCCATGGTTGCTGTGAGGATCAAATGAGATAATATTTACAAAGCACTTAGCATAGTGCCAGAGACATGGTAGGTCCTTAGTAAATGTTTTTTTTTTCTTTCTTCCTTTTGCTTGAAACTGGATTTATTTGGTCCTTCTGTGTAGTTATGGAACACACTCATGGTTTGCATGCTAACACCTTCTTTTACAAATATAATTTTGCATATGCCCTCGATGTGCTGCAAAACAGTGCTGACATTTTCAGAAATTTACGTATGTGTGTGTGCGTGCGTGCGTGCGTGTGTGTGTGTGTGTGTGTGTGTGTTAAATGGCATAGTGAATAGAGTTCCAGGCCTGGAGTCAAGAAGACCTGAGTTCAGATTTGACCTCAGACACTATCTATGACCCTGTGCAAGTAACTTAACCCTGTGTGCCTCAGTTTTCTCATTTGTAAAATGCACTAGAAAAGGAAATGGTAAACCACTCCAGTAGCTTTGCCAAGAAAACCCCAAATGGGGTCACAAAGAGTCACACACAACTGAAAAAAAAAACTGAACATATGTGAGCATATACACACATGTGTATATACAATGTACACATACTATATATGTATGTATATAAACACATACATATACATGCTCATAATATGCATACATACATATACACAAACACACACATATAGATAGATACATAGATAGATAGATAGATACATACATACATACATACATACATACAAATAGAAACAATATTCCTTTTGAACTGGTTTTTGCTATGCAAACTTTTTGGAAGTTTTTGAGTTTTGATTTTGAGTTTGGAGGACTTTGAGTTCCCCTCTCTTTTTTTTATAAAAAAAGCCATTAAAACATTTTTTAAAAAATCCACTACATGTAAATGAATTTCATAATTGCTATTTCTTGTACACTAGTCTCAGAACCAATAGTTACTTCAGGTTGGATCTTATTTCAGGAAACCCTAGTGTGTCACAGAAATGTCCTCAGGTGCCTTCTCTGTTGGGCCCAGGGTACATTCTAGTTTGAATTCTCTCACGGAGTTAAAAGGAAGTTTTGTATGACTGGCTACATGTGTCAACCAAAAGTTCTTAATTATCTTCCAACAAGTGCTCACAGGAGACTTTTAAAGCTTCATCAACCATCAAATCCTCTCATCACCTCCTCAGAATTCCATTTGTAACAGTCATTTAAGTTGGATTGTTGAAATACATGCAAAGAAAGGAGTTTCATTTCAGCAGCTTTCTACCCTTTTGTAGGACTTAAAATGTCAAGCAGAACAAATTTTAAACTGTCATTATTTTGCTTCTCAGTGTAATAGCCTAATTTTTTTTAAAACCAAGATTTCCTTTAGGTCTTCCATCTCCTAAACATGAAAAAAAATTATTATTGCAATACGTTACAAAACAGAGTCTATACTTAAAGCTAGAGAATGTCATGATGGCCTGTACACCAAGGGAAGACTCGGGCCTTCTGAGATCAAAGAGATTCAGTTACATCACAAAATTCAGAGTTGAATGGGACCTTAATGAACAGAGTTCTTTTTTATTTTACAGATAAAGAAACCGAGACCAAGTTAAATGACTTGACTAAGATCACGGTGCAGAGTCAAGTTTTGAACCCTGGCCTGCTGGGTAGAAATTCAACGCTCTTGTCACTACACTGTGACTGACTTCTCTTGCTCTATGGTCATAACTGTTTACCTTATTTTTTTTTCTCCTGAAATCAATTTAATCTGCACTTTTCCTTGTAGGAAGCTAAATTGCTCTCTTTCTAAATAGAGTACAATATGTAGTAAGTGTAGATAGATACAACCCAAGTCATTTTGAGATACAGTGTGGTCCCATGAAATGACCACTGCCTCAGTTTCCTCATCTTTAAAATGAGGAAGTTGGGCTAGATGACCTCTAAAGTCCCTTCCAACTCTAAATTTGGGATGCAGAGCAATGACATGGAAAGATAGTTGAGAGCATCTGGGTTAGTATCTCAGATCTGCCACTTACTACCTGTGTGAACAGGGGTTTGGTTCTTATCCTCTCTAGGCCTCAGATTCCTCATCAATAAGGCAGGGAGGAAGGGGAAGGGAGCACCTACTAGGTGCCAGGCACTGTGCTAAGCATTTTACAAATATTATCTCTTTTGATCCTCACAACAACCCTGCAAAGTAGGTGCTGCTATTATTCCCTTTTTACAGTTGAGGAAACTGAGATGAACCAAGGTTAAAAGACTTGGCCAGAGTCATACAGCTAGTAAATGTCTGAGGCCAGATTTGAATTCAGGTCTTCCTAATTTCAGGTCCAGTAGGTCCACTATCTTACTAAAAGGTCCCCACTACCTTACTAATTTCAGGTCCACTACCTACTGTACCACCTAGGTGCTTCTTGGGCAAAGAGAAGTTAAATACTTACCCAAAGTTACACAATTAGTGTCTGAGACCACATTTGAACTCAGGTCTTCTTGACTCTAGGCTCAATTCTCTATCCATTATGCCATCTAACTGTCTTTAAATGAAAGTGTTAAATCTGATGAGTCCTAATGTTCCCTTCATCTTTAAATCTAAATTTCTGATACTTAACAAGTTCCAACTGTGTATTACATGTTATGACCAAAAAAAAAATTGTTATTTATACTCACTCTGAGTCATCAAGGCCCAAACTATGACCAAGTGAGGCGTGGGCTGGGACCTACTGTTGGTCAATAAATGAGAGCTAGAGTGATTTGGGTTTAAGACATGGTCCCTAAGAAAGAAATCTATCACATAAACCCCAAGATATCTTGGAAAATCTTAGGGACTCAACAAATATATTAAGAATAGCTTCAGAAAAATTGCAGGCTAAAAAAATCAACCCTCAAAAATCAACAGCATTTCTCTAGAAATAGTAATTTAAAAATCAAAGAAGCAACAGAAACCCTGAGGGTTTTCTCCTCCCAAATTGATTTTTTTAACTATTTAAAAGAGGTTATTCTTCACCTCATTTCTTACCTAGTCTTAATCACTGAATGGGCTTTGCCTCAGTCAAACTGAGACCTGTGAAAGACCTTAACTTAAAAAGGCCAAGGTGTCCCACTGCATACAGGGCCATCTCCAGTTGTCCTGATCTATATCGTGTCACTGGATCCAGATGGCTCTGGAGGAGAGAGTGAGGCTGGTGACTTTGCACAGCCCTCCCTCACTTAAATCCAATTCACTTGCGAGTCATGGCATCACCTTCCTGATGTCATGGTTCTCCATGAGAACAAAGGACAAACAACAAGAACGACAACAAAAAGTTAGGGCATTTAAATGGTTTTGCACCAATATCTAATAAACCTTTTTCTTTTTCACAGTCTATTTTTTAAAAAAAAGCTAAATCACTGAATTACTCTGAACCTTAATTCCCTTGTTTATAAATCAAGAATAATAATATCTATATTATCAGTCTCTTAAAGCTGTCATGAGTATCAAGTCAGACCAAGTGAAATACTGTATGTAATGTGGAAACTTTGAAAATTTTGTCCTCTAACAGAATGTAGTCTCCTTGAGGACAGGGGCTCTCTTTTGCCTCTTTTTGTATCCCCAGAGCTTAGCAAAATGCATGGCACGTAGCAAGCACTTAATAAATGTTTATTGATTGACTTCATTTCTGTCTTTATATCCCCACTGCCTTGCTAGTACCGTGTCTGACACTTGATAAATGCATGGTGAATTCATTCTGATATATGGGGTTGGGGAGGATTCATCTAGATCTATGATTTCTTTGGTTCAGGAATTCTTCATTAGGAAATGACCCCCACTGAGGCAGGTAAGCAACTTCCCTACAACTTCAGAGTTTTACAGAGCAGTCTGTGGAACTAAGTTTTAAATGACTTGTCTATGATCACTTGGCCAGTGTATCTAAGAGGTAAGACTCAAATTCCTCCTATTTTCCATACTCTGGAGTTGAATCTCTATCCACTGTGCTAGGCTGCCTCTTAAACTGAAGTATAAAATACTGCAACAAATGTAAGGTATTATTGTTTTCAATAACTGAGCTGTAGCAATGTTGTTATCTGAAAGCTATCTCTGATAATGGATTTTCATCTCTGAATTTCAGCACACTGCAGGAGTGAAATAAAACCTTGACCTTAAAATGCATTTTCAGTTCTTACAAATCTTATCTGGAGCTTCATGGAATACATGAATATTATTTGAATGTATTAGAATGACTTACCGTATTGAGTCCCAGACCATTCAGCATATATATCAAATCCTCTGTTGCTACATTCCCAGAAGCACCTTTTGCATAAGGACAACCACCTAATCCAGACACAGCCGAGTCCACAACATTGATTCCCATCTGGAAAGCAAACAAACAAAAGCAATGAATGTTTGTTTTTTTCTCAATTAGAAGCAGAGGGACAAAAATTTTCATTGTATTTTTGTAGGTAAGCAAAAGATCAGTTCTTCCACAAATATTTGGCTTACAAGTCTAATGCCATAATGACCTCACTTTAACCCTGACTTTTGTCTGTCTACTGAAGTTGGAGAAGTGATTACAGGAGGGTCTACCTAAAGCTACCAGAACTCCTGTCTCATATAAAATGTAAGTTCATAGAGGCCAAAGAATGTGTTGTTCCTGTCTTTCTATCTGCAGCACCCAGCATAGTGACTTACACATTTTAGACCATTCTTGTGATTTCATAAGCATAGGTAATTCCAGGTGAGGAACTCCCTCTCTGCCAATGCATATGAGCCCCAGATATGCAATTTATAATCTTACTGCCTCCTGAGAGCATTGAGAAGCTATGTGACTTCCTGAGGGACACATAGCCTGTATGTGTCAAAAGTAGGGCTATGCCAGCAGAGGGTGATCAACCACACAAGAAACATTTTTAGTTTGGGCCTGGGTTTGCTATACTTGGCATCCCAAAAGTCTTAGTGTAGTTTTAACTTCAATAACTTAAAAGAGTTTTTGCAATCTTCAGAAGTTTTAATTTAAGTTTTAATATCTTTCAACTTTCCCAAGACTTATGGAACAATTTGTACACCTTTTATCTGAGGATCAGATGTTTGGAGAGGCTTATGAGACAGATGTAGGTTCGCAGTAGGAGGATGACTTTTTCCACCACAATAATTTGTGAAAACCGTTTTTTATAGACATGGATAAGTTACTAATTCAGTGGAGATTGCTTAAATCAATAAAAGGAAAGGTGATGAAGCCCACTGTGCTTTGGGGTGGGGATACAAAGAAGTAGGAAACCTGAACTTCAAGCGCAGGAGCAAATTATTATTTTTTTTTTACAAAGATAATATTTGCATTAGATTTAAAGATTTTGCTTATAAAAATTCTGCTTTAGATGTCAGAATTAGGATAAATCAGCAATCTCTGGAGTGGCCAGAGAAAGTTTGATGAATGAAATGGAACGAGGGCTTGGTCCTAAATGTTGGATAAAGTCTCTACAGGGGACAAGATGGCTTGCGAAGATAAGGCACAGGATAGATATCCTAGCTGTCTTCGCTTATCTGAAAGGCTGTCATATGGAAAAAGGAGAGATTATTCTTGTTCTGTTTAGACCTAGAGTACAGAATCGGGAGAAAAGGGTAAAAGTTGCAAAGAGGCAGATTTAGGCTTGATGGCAGAAAAACTTTTTCACAATTAGAGGGATCCCCAATTGAATGGGTGCCCCTCAGGAGGACGTGGTGTTCTCCTCCATGGAGGCATTGAAATTGAAACTGAATGACTCTTTGTCAGGTATACTATATTGGGAACCTGAGGAATAGGAGTTCAGTAAAGAACTTCTGTAGGACATGATATTTGAGTTAAGGTTTGAAGGAATCCAGGGATTCTAAAATGCTGAGATGAGGAAGGTGATGTTTGAAGTCATGGAGGATGACTTTTGCAAAGGCACAGAGATGGGGGATGGACTGTCTTACATGGGGAAGAGTAAGTACACCAGTTTGGCTGGACCACAAGTGCATGAAAGAAAGGAATGTGTAACAAGTCTGGGAAGGTGGCCTGGAATCATATTGAAGATTCTAAAATGCCAATTGGAGGAGTTCCTAGGTGTACCTTTTGGCATTAGGTAGGAACTAGAGTTTCTAGAGCAGACTTGGATAGAACTGTGCTTAACAAATATCACTTTGGCAGCTGGGTAGAGCCCTGATAAGATTGGAAAGTATGAATTGGCAGAGGCAAAGTTTCAGTGTCATGAGTTTAAGGTGGCAGTAGGAGAACCTTAGATTTTGTTAACTCAAGACCAACGTATCCCTTGTTGTTCCAAGATGTCCAAAGGGAAGAAGTATAAGAAGGATGAGCTTTTGTGGAGAGTGGTAGAGGTAACAATCAGAGCTGAGGCTATCATCTTTTGGATGTGGTGTAATGAACATTAAATGTGACTGCAAATCCATTGCTTAGGATTAATTTAGTGTGTGTTTAGGGGGAGACTCAAGTATATAAGAATGTGAGACACCTGATACTGGTCCCTGTGAATAGAGAAGGCTCCTGGTTAGGAGGAGTAAGAACACAGTGGGGCAGACTTCAGGAGGAATTTGCCTGTGGTTTGGCTGCCCAGGGAAGTCAGCTGGTAGCTTCTTATTTTAATTCATTATTATCACCGACTAGGTGCTAAGCTCAGCCACTTCTAGGAAGCTGGAATGCAAACATTGTCAACACCGTTTGAACTCTGGAACCCTAAAGCAAAAACATCCCCCTAACAAATTACAGCTCTGCAGAAGAGTGGTCCTATAAGTATTATGTATTATGTACTTATCTCTTTCCAATGAGGCTTCATAGGATTTTACAATGAAGTGACCAAAGTGAAAATTCTATAAGAAGGTAAAGCAGGCCTGTTGTGAATTGATCAAGATATAGGGATACACAGCTTGAAGCTTTGGGTTCAATTGTCCTCTGCTAAATCATCTAAAGGCAAGACTTGAAAAGCTTTTGTACAAGGATAAAAACAAGGGTAGATCACCAGCCTATGGAGTGATCTGGGATGTTCTAAAATGAATGAGTTTTGGAAATTACTTCTCCTTGTTAACTCTGATTATGTTCCCACTGAAGCCTTGGACCTGAAAAATCCTTTAAGGTGCCCAAAGTCTTCTAGTGGGCAAAACAAGTGAAATAGGGATGAAGAAATTTGTCTTTAGCACCATTAGTCTCACTATGGTCCTAACTGTATTCCTCATTCCTTTGGATATCCTGTGCTATTGTGCCTCTCTTCATGTCATTTTTTCCCTCTCTTTTCCCTTTGAAAAAAAAAAACAAAAAAAAAATTAAAAAAAAACTGGGGCATCTAGGTGGCACAGTGGATAGAGCACTGGCCCCGAAATCAGGAGGACCTGACTTCAGATACGGCCCCAGACCAAACACTTGACACTTACTAGCTGTGTGACCCTGGGCAAGTCACTTAACCCCAATTGCCTGGAAAAAAAAAAAACTAACAAAAATTACCAATAACTGTTCAATGTGATAGCCTTCAAAGGGCTACTTGCTTTTAGCAGGGATAAAAACCTAAAGCCAACAGCAGGGCAAAAGAATCCTAACAACAGAATATTAAGTATCATAGTGAGATGGAATGGGTAGGGGACAGAGGTAGGGGACTTTATATTCAGCAAGGCTTTCTGAAATCACCTCTCAGAGGCACAGACATTGATTTAAGCAGACTAGCCTTGCATGGTGGACCTGACACACTTTCTCCTCAGGGTGCCAAAAGATGAAGCCTTTATCCCTTTCAGTTTCCCTTTCTCTTAGTGAAACGCTGAGTCGTAGGTGTGGGTTGGCTTTTATCCTTAGCTCCATCCCCCAGAGTATCACTAGATTCCTAGGCAATGTTTCAAAAGACTTGGAAACACTTGTACAGGAAGGATTTAAACGGACAAGAGTCATTAGCCCCTAGAGTGATACATCTGGGTCAGCATGAGATTACTTCAACAGCATTTAGCAGGTAGACTATGAGCATTTTTGTTGTTTTTTTTTGTTCCCCCCTTCCCTGCACCAGAGGTCAGAAGACAGGTTAACCCTCGGAATTATCCATTGCCCCTAGCCAGATCTCTCCTTACTAAGAACTTTGTTGACTTAGGAAAAGAGGACAGTCTTTATCTCAACTGGCCTTCTGCAGGTCAGCTTAGCTATGGGTTGAAAGGGGCCAACCACTTTTATCTCAACACTAGAAACATATTTACCTTTGCTTGTCACAGAGGCCAAAGTGAAGTGTTTTCCATTGTCTTCTGTGACATACTCATGTGAGACTCATAAAATGAGACAAATTGGAGCTCAAAACCTTCCGCATGTCCTCTTTTACTTTATTATTTGATTGTTTTGCAAGAGTCTTGAATCCCTAAGGTCTAAGACTAAGTGAAACGAGTGGCAGAATGACCTAGTAGTTAAAGAGCCTGTCTCAGAGTCCTGAGTCTGATTTTCATCTATTACTGACACAACCTGGATGGGTGAACCCTCCCCCTCTCCCATCCACTTATCCCCTCAGCATTCCCAGTCATCTCTCTAAAGCTATAAATTGAGGAGAACGTGGCATGCCAACTCTCATTGGTAGTAAAAGTTCCTCTCTGGGAGCTCATTACACTATTACCCTGACAAAATCCCAGATCTGTTAAAAAAAAAATAAAAAAAAAAAGTCTTGTGTCACTGACTAGAAGAGATGAGAACAGCTAAATGGTTCATTTCTCTTATTGGCCACTGTGTCACAGCATATCTGAGCGATGGTTAATACCTTCTTTTCTATGGGTTCTTGTGCTACTTTTATAAATTTGTTCAAGTGTGAACTGTTACTGCCATTGATAAGCAAGTTGTTTTTCAAGAATACTAGCTCAAATTTACACGATCTCAGGTAATCAGAGGTGTAAAATACAAAGCTCTTTTAAAATTCACTTTCATAAAATATTACTTATAACGAGTTTAGTATTCATCTGTTCTGCTAAGTAATTGAATTCTATCTTCTACCAACAGAAACTCTGCAGAAAACAGTATTATCTGCAGCCTTATGAAGCATGCCCTCTGACATCCACATGGTGGCTTAGGAGTTTGAAAAGGAGGAATGAAAGAAGAAAAAGGTATTATTTACTTTCTCCCCACCCCACATTCATGGTTCTCCCCCTTCTTCTTAGAAATTGCATTTCACTGTGGAAGTGAATGTTGAAAACTAAAAATAATAAAAAAAAGAAATTACATTTCACTTCTGCTCAGTATGAATCAGAAAAATAAAACAAAACAAAACAAAAAACAACTACCTTCACAAAAAAAAAACCAAAAAGCAAAACAAAACAAAAAAAAAACTGAAACGCCTGCTTTGGAAGACTCTTTTTTTTTTTCCCTCTGTAAGAATTATTCACTTTGAAAGG